TTCTACTTTTATGTAGTTATACTACTATTGGCTTTTCACATAAATAGAATCATGCAATATGAAATTTTGTGATTGGCTCGTTTTAGTTACCAGTGTTTTGAAATTCAGCCACTATGTCACATGCATCAAAATGTAATTCCTTCTTAGGACTGAGTAATATTGCCCTACACAGATGAACCACATTTTGTTGAATAATTCCATGGTAACAGAAATTTTGCTATTAGCAATAGGGCTGCTGAAAACATATGCAGACACATTGTTTTGTGGTTTTCTTAGATTTTTCCTTAATATCATTATTGTCTAAAATCCCATTTAGGACAGCACACTCTTTTATCATTCTTTTGTTTTTGCTTGTGTGTGCATGTGTGCACACCCACATGTGCCATGCATGTGTGTGTTGGTCCTGGGACTTGAACTCAGGGCCCAAGTGCCACAGCTCCACTTCCAGTTTTCTGGGTTAATTGGAGATAAGAGTCTCATGGACATTCTTTGCAGGGCTGGCTTTGAGCCGTGATCCTTAGATCTCAGCTTCCTGAGTAGCTAGGATTACAGGTGTGAGCCATGGGTGCCTAGCTAGCTTTACTTGTGATGACACATTAAATGTGTCCTTGGCTACCATGCATGCCACTCATCTACTTGGCATGTCTTTCCTCCCTATTCCCACATCCTATTCAGATCACCCAGAACTTAGAGGCTGTTTTCTTTATAACCCAAGTGAAGCACTAGAGATATAAAATCATTAGTCTCTTAGGTTTGCAATTCACAGTATTTCCAGTTTGTTCTTCAATATTTCCAATGCAGCCCCTTCCCTTCCCTTCCTTTTAGACCCAATTTATATCACTTGTATTTCCCGAAGGTGTTTGGTTGCTTGCTTTATTGGTTAAAAAAAAAAATCAGTCTGGGCACATTGCCTGTCTGCCTTCCAGATCACACTGGTACAGGCAAGCCTGTGTTCTCTGCCAGTGTCTTAAAATGATTTCTGGCTGCCATTTCCTCCATTTCAGATAGAGGAGGGGGAGTAATCCCTAGAGATTTTCCTGGTTATTTTTGCAAGGAGGTGGGAGGTGAGGAGCTTAACACCTTAGTGGAATCTATGAACGATTTCTCTAGAACTCCGTCATCCTACCTTTGAAAAAATGGAAGGATTGGAGAGAACTAATTTTGGGGGGTGGGAGAAGATGGCATTTAGTTGGATTTGAAAAGGAAATTGAGAGTACTATATAGAAACTGTTTGCAAAATATAGTTGAAAATAGTCATCAATGAGCTGAAGGCTGACTTGACAAAGTAGTCACTGTTATAAATAATCCATGGCAAGGTGAGTATTGGGCACCTGAAATACACGAATGCTACTTGTAGCTCATTGTGTCCTAAGACATCAGAGCCTGGTGTCTGGTGATAGAAGCAAAGGAGAGATAGACTGAAGGACCCACATTTTACAGATTGTTCACCCCAGTCTTAAAGGATCCAATGGATTGCTCATAATATTTAATGCCACCTTCTAAATGCTAAAAAGGAGAAGGGGAAAAAAAAGAACCAATACACACTTGGCAGGATTGAGTAGTAATTTATTGTGATTGGCTTTGTCCAGCTTTGAAAACTAAGGCATTGATATTAAGAACTAAAGAGAAATTACATAGAGCTGGTGTGATTGGGGGGGGAAAAGTTTGGTTCTTTCTAGTGATTTTTGTTTTGTTTTGTTTTAAATGCCATAAAGCTTTAAAAGCATGCTTCATTGGATCTTATCCAAATCTCCCAGGACAGGCCTAGGAGACCTTTTTTCCTATTGAGGGCCACTGACCCACAAAAAAAGAAAAGAAAAGAAAAAAAAAAACTAATCAAGGGCCATGTATAAAAAGCAACTTAATTTATGTGTCCCCTTAGAAAAGCATAAAGCCCTCACTTTACCTGCTTTTTAAATTAAGAACATGGAACTCTGATTGAGTACAACAAATAAAAACCTGTCAGTTTCACATTCTGTTCAGTTAAGAGGTGGAGTGGAGTTTTTTTTAAAAAAGACAATTGGCAGTGTGAAGAGAGGATGGAAAGCCGTTGAGAGGAGCTGAAGGGCCTAGAAGAGATACAGACAGGAAAGTGTGTGTGTTCACGCTCATGGTTGCAGGGAATAAAAGAGAATTGTACATCCTAACTATTGTCTATGTAGCTGCTCAATTCACTGGTGAACTGCCATTGTCAATAGTCTGTGGCTGGAATCCTGAGACCTGTCCAAGAATATTTTTTGTGGGGGAGAATAGAAAGTTGCACTCGGTTCCTGGATGTTGTCCTTTCGAACCCCCACCCTCTATCCCCAAGGCTGGCAGTCTACCATTTGAACCACAGGAATATTTCCAGGATTTTTTTGTTTGTTTGTTTTTGTTTGTTTGTTTGTTTTGGTGGACTTGACTGCCCAAGCTGGATTCAAAGTCATCTTCAGATCTCAGCCACCTGACTAGCTGGGATTATAGGCGTGAGCCAATAATTCCTGTGTGTGTGTGTGTGTGTGTGTGTGTGTGTGTGTGTGTGTGTGTGTGTGTGCGCGCGTGCGCGCGCGCGTGCATGCATGCTGGTTCTGGGGCTCAAACTTAGGGCCTAAGTTCTGTCCCTGAGCTTTTTGTTCACTCTACCACTTGAACCACCCATCACTTTCAGCTTTTTCTGTGTATGGTACTGAGGAATTGAACTCACGGCTTTGTGAATGCTAGGCAAGCACTCACACTCTACCACTAAGCCACATTCCCAGCCTTGTCCCTGAGCTTGTCCCTGAGCTTTTGTGTTCAAGGTTAATACTATACCACTTGAGCCACAGTGCCACTTCCTTTTTTTTTGGTAGTTAATTGGGAGATAACAGTCTCAGGGACTTTCTTGTCTTGGCTGGGTTTGAACCTTGGGCCTTCAGATTTCAGCTTCATGAGTAACTAGAATTATAGGTTTGAGCCACTGGTGCCTGGCATAATAATTCTTTTATTATTATTATTATTATTGCTGCTAGTCCTGGGGCTTGAACTCAGGGCCTGGACACTGTCCCTGAGCTTCTTTTGCTCAAGACTAGCACTCTATCACTTGAGCCACAGGGATACTTCTGGCTTTTTCTGTTTATGTGGTACTGGGGAATTGAACCCAGGGCTTCATGCATGCTAGGCAAGCACTCTACCAATAAGCCACATTCCCAGCTCCTGGCATAATAATAATTCTTAATAAATGAAGGATGTGCATTCAAAAAGTGCTACCACACAGTGCCTACCGACCTGTCTCAAATCCATTGTGTTCTCCTTGAGTTCAACTCAGCCCAAAGGAAAAGCCCAGGCCTCTCTCATAAATCAGCAGTGGAGAAGATCACTAGGCTTTAAAAAAAAAAAAAAAAAGGGAGGTGGTCCCTAGAAAGAACAAAAAAAGAAAAAAAAGGCATTTTTCCTTCACACACTGCATTTTAGAAGCAATATAAAACACATAAAGGAGAATGCCTTTCAAATAATATGTATTCCTTGGTTTTCAAAAGAAACCATTAGGGTGATTAAAGTAGAAATAGTCTCAAGTTCTTCGTTTCTTTAAGATGTTCCTCTTTGCGGTGCTGAAGATGGTAAACCAGGGCATCCCGTGTTCTACCATTGAGCCTCACCCCACCCCCAGCCCTGAAATATTCAAGTGAAAAGAAAAAAGAAACAACTCAAGTTCTCAGAGATTCTTACTAGAACCCAGTTGTCATGGGAAGTTCGAATCAAGTCAGTGCCTCTTTTCCTCCTTGTACTTCTCATCAACATGGATTGATGGTGGCATCGAATCCCCAGTTAGTCTTAAGTACGTCTTGGGATTTCATTCAGAAGCTTGTCTTAAGGCTTGCATGTGTCTCAGGGCTTTTGGCGAAAGGGAAAAAAAAAACGATCAAATTACATTTTCAAGGAAGGCTATTTATAAATGCAGACAGAAGAAGGGATGTGTGCAAGACTATGTGGCCCAAGGTGTAGGATGCTTGAAATGAGAGAATGTTCCATGGAGAAGATGGCATTGCCAACCGAAACATGAGCCAAGGATCACCCCTGTGTTCTTCCTTCACCCCGGGCAAACCTTTCATCACTGTACTTAAGTCTTCCTGGAAAGAGCTTTTCCCCAAGATGAAAGTGTACTCGGCTTTTTTTTTTTCTTTAAAATTTTTTTATTAGGTATTGCCAAAACAAAGATGTACTCTTATAAGCAGGTCTGCCTGAGATGGGACTGAAGGCCTCGGTGGCTGACTTATGCGGTGGATGGGCGCAGCCATGCTGGGCCTTGTACTTGTGCCAGGGTAAACGGCCCTGATTCCTTTCAGCAGGATAGCAGTAAAACTGTTGAAGGCTCCTACCCACTTTTGAAGGGTGTATGCTCAGTGTAAAATTCCTGTGGGTAACTTTTAAACCTCACAGCGTCTAATGCCTTTATTCAATGGAGAAAATGATTCTTCACTGTTTTCTTGATATTTTCTGGTCTCCAAGTCCGCTGTGTGTGTGGAGGGGGGGGGGGTGGAAGGAGAAATGCGCATGTGTACTTGCATGTAGCTTCCTATGCACACTGGGGAGGGGGGAGGGGAGAAAACATGGGCTTTACCTTTGACCTTAGAAACCTATTTTGATCACGTGAAATAAGACCTTTTTGATATTTGTGAACCTTGTAAAGACTAGATGAACGAAGTCATGAATGATTTTTGCCTTGCATATTCAGTGCAGATCATCTCAGCATCTTTGCAGGATCAGGGAGAACAATCTAGATGATCATGAGCCTTTTTTTAGCCCATGACAATCTTTTAAAAAGTATTTGGTCTGGGCACTGGTGGCTCACACTTGTCATCCCAGCTATTCGAGAGGCTGAGATCTGAGGATCGTGGTTCAAAGCCAGTCTGGGCTATAAAACATTGTTGGACACATGGGGTGTCTGTACCCTTACTGAAATGAAGCAGAGTGTGTGCACACTAGTCAAACCCTTCCCTTTTGCACTTGATAGAGATTGACAGTCCTACTTTTTATCTCCCCAGGTGATCATCTGAAGATCTGTCCCCAGGGCTATACCTGTTGCTCTCAAGAGATGGAGGAGAAGTACAGCCTGCAAAGTAAAGATGATTTCAAAAGTGTGGTCAGTGAGCAGTGCAACCATTTGCAGGCTATCTTTGCTTCCCGGTACAAGAAGTTTGATGGTATGTGATTCAAGTCATATTTCAGAGCTAAGTGTGGTGGCACACACCCATAAGGCCAGCTACTCAGGTGGCAGAGGTAGGAGGATTGCAGTCTGAAGCCCACTTGGGCCCCATAAACAAACTCAAGCAAAAAAGGCACAGCCCAAGCTCCTCTGTTCTCTCTTTGTGTGTTTACCTGCACCCCTTGGTGGATGTAACATAATATTGTTAATGCAAGTCATGAGGGGGAGGGTAGGAGACACCTAAAACTTCCTAATAAAAAGCAAGCATCTGAAAGCTGCCTTATTATAAAAAAAAATGGAGAGATTCTGTACATGCTGGACTTCAGATTCAATTTCCAACTGGATTCTGAAAGACAACTAGAATTCCTCACAGCTCTACAGAACGCAGGCTGAAAAAGCTCAGTTGTGGAACGGCTTTGCAGACCCGGCGAACCAGTGGTGCCGCGCCTGCCATCATTAGTAAGCAGGCTTCCACCCCAGCCTCCTTCTGAACTGGGCCTTGGTCTAATCTCCACCATGGAAAAGCCACAGTGGACTCCATTCAAATTCATCCTGTTAGACATGGCCTCTCCCCGGTACCCCTTATGTCATAGTCAAGATATAACCAAACCTGGTGTAGTGGCTCACGCCTGTAATTCTAGCTATTCAGTAGGCTGAGATCTGAGGATCATGGGTCAAAGCCAGCCAGGCCAGGAAAGTCTGTGAGACTCTTGTCTCCAACTCATCCATAGAAAACCGTAAGTGGTGCTATGGCTCGAAGCAGTAGAGTGCTAACCATAAGCACAAAAACTTAGAGACAGCACCCAGACCCTGACTTCAAGCCCCACGACCAACCAAAAAGCAAAAAGAAAAGAAAAGGAAAAAGAAATAGCCAAGGTCAAGCCGCGTTACAGATAACAGACTTTAAAAAAAAAAAAAAAGAGCAGGAGGCTGGGTACTGGTAACTCATAAGAGTAATCTTACCTACTTAGGAGGCTGTGATCTGAGGATTATAGTTCAAAGCTAGCCTGGTCAGAAAAACCCATGAGACTCTTACCTCCAGTGGATCACCAGAAAACCAGAAGTGGCACTGTGGCTCAAGTGGTAGAGCACTAGCCTTGAGCAAAAATACTTAGGGACAGCACCCAGGCCCTGAGTTCAAGCCCTAGGATTGGGGCACGTGTGCGCACGCACGCACGTGCGCGCGCGCACACACACACACACACACACACACACACACACACACACACACACACACACACACACACACACACACACACACACTGAGGTCCAAACACCTCAGCATTTTCCCCCCTGTGGTGTTTGTCACTCACTATGAAGATGGCTGTGGGTAGATTTGATTTCCATCAGAATGATTTCCTTTGTGCCTGTTTTAAAAGGCCATTCTAATTACATAGTACCTTTGAAGCATGCTTTTCTTGACATTATGTGTAGTGAAGAAGTACCAGGCAAATTTTCTAGATGTGAAATGTCTTTGAGTATTTCTGCAAAGGGCCGGTTACCATGGTGAGAAGTTAAGACTTAAATTAGATTTGGCATAGCTGATAAGGCACAACTCAGCTATTACAACAGGTTGCATTTCAAGTGTTCCTTTTGAGATTTGTTATTTAAAACTTATCAGTCATTTAAAAAAGTGTTACGGAGTTTTCCAGGCTAGACTACAACAGGTTTTATTTATTTTTTGGGGGGGGGGGGTTTAGTCAGTCACTGGGCTTGAACTCAGGGCCTAGGTGCTGTCCCTGATCTTTTTTGCTCAAAGCTAGTGCTCTACCACTTGGAGCCACAGTGCCACTTCTGGTTTTCTGGTGGTTCATTGGAGATAAGAGTCTCAGGGGCTTTCCTGCCCAGGCTGGCTTCAAACCAGCATCCTCAGATCTGAGCCTCCTGAGTAGCTAGGATTATAGGCATGAGCCAACGGTGCCTAGCTTAGCATTTTTAATATATAATGAATTTGAACTAAAATACTGTCTGAGTATTTTACTATGGACAATTGGTCTTGCCTGATTTTTCAAACTGTGTATATATACCTGTTTAGCTTTTTTGTAATGGCACAGATTCAAACCAAGGCCCCTGCACATACTACTCCATCCATTCTCTACCACTGAGCTACACCCTTAGCCTATTTGTTCTTAATTCTGTCTCCTTTTCTCTTAACAAGTGTGAGAAAGTCAGTATCTCTATACATCGTCATTATTACTTTAATATTCATGTTATACCTGTTAGACTATTTAGCACTATACTGACACCACAGGAAACTGAATTTTGTTGACAAAATCATTGTTACTGCCTCTGCTTCCCAACTCATTATTACTGTTGAAAAGAGTATTTTCTTTTTCTCCTCTTTTCCCTCACCCCACCCTTATAGTTTGATTTCTATAACGCAGGCCTGGACCTTGCTATGTATCCCAGGCTGGCTTAGAACTTGTGATCCTTCTGTCTCAGCCTTCTGAGTACTGGGATTACAGGCATGTACTACCCTGCCTGGCAAGACTGATGTCCTTGTCTCTATAACATTTCTCATTCAAGATAAGAACTTAAATGTTTCCTTTCACTCTGGGGAAGAAATGTAGCAAGATTATTAGATGGGCATCTTTGAAACCTTGAGATGGTGGTTCTTAAAAATGGCCACAAAGAGACTTCATCATAGAATTCAGAAGGGAACATAAATCTTGTTCTTTTTGTAATGGCTCTCCTGTTAGCAGGATGATGTGGTAGAGATAAAGCTATTTCCAAGACTCAAGGCATCCTTCTTATTAGATGTGTCAGTTTGTGGAGTAGAAACAGAGTGCTTACACATAGGGCCTGCTGGTTTAGCTATTTTTTTTTTCCCTTTCCGTTCCCCAGGGTTTTATTTCAGTACTCCTGTGATCCCAATGTGTCGGGGTTTTTGGGTTTTCTTGTAAGAAAGCCATACGGAGAAATTTTATCCATGTTAGCATATGTTTTTTGTTTTTTTTAAACTGTAGCTTTATCACTTTCCAAACATAGGAGACCAAGTGACAATGAAATGCCAGTTTCTTTCTTTTTTTTTCTTAAGTAGTTGTACAAGGAGTTGCCATTGCACAGAGCAGTTTATGAATACAATATATCTTGATCAGTGTTACCTCTTTTAATATTCTCACCCACCCCTCCTGACCCACCTGTCCATCATTCTTCTCATTTTGTGGGGTACACATCCAGTTTGTTTTTTTCTGACTGCAAATTAAAATACAGCATGGACAGTGAAGTTAATGAGCACCAATTAACCTTTTAGTGTGTGTGGAGGAGTAGTAGCTGAAATGTATTTGGAGATCCGAACAGCTGGAATTCTTTGAAGATTTAAAAAAAAATATTTGTGTGTTTGGTTGGTTGCTGGTGGGGTTTGAACACAGGACCTGAGCTCTTTTGCTGAAGGTGAGTACTCTACCACTTGAGCCACAGCTCCACTTCTGGTTTTCTGGTGGTTCATTGGAGACAAGAGTCTCATAGACTTTCCTCCTAAGAATGGCTTTAAGTCACGATTCTCAGTTGTCAGCCTCTTGACATAGGCAGGATTATAGGCATAAGCTCCTGGCACCTTGGTGTTGATCAGTTGATTTTTTTTTTTTAATTTTATTTTATTGTAAAGCTACTATACAGAGGGTTACAGTTACATGAGTGAGGTAATGAGTACACTTCCTCTTGAACATTGTTACCCCCTCCATTGTTTTCCCCCTACCATCCCCTCCCTCGATCAGTTGATTTTTAAGGCTACTAGCACCTTGCTGACATTTTCAAGACCTAATCAAGGATGAGGAATATAATGCTTTAGTGGTGAGTGTCTCAAGTCTCAGAAATTCAAATTCGGTGGTAGGTTCTTTTATTAAGGAATTGTCCAAATAATTATAAAAGCCAAATCTTGAGGCTGATACAAATAGAAGGGAGGAAGTGTTGGAGAGAGCAGCAAGATGGTGGCTGAGGAACTGAGAAGGGCAGCCAAGGTTGCACAAGGACAGCCAGGGACATTCAGTGAGGAAATAGACGACACACAGAAACATTAAAGCCAAGCATTGGTGGCTGCATCCATAATCCTAGCTATTCAGGAGGCTGAGATCTGAGGATCACAATTCAAGGCTAGCTCCAGCAAGAAAATCCATGGACTCTCATCTCCATTGAAGCAAGAAAAAAAAATCCAGAAATGGAGATGCGCTTCTTAAGTAGTAAGAGTACCACCAGCCTTGAGCAAAAAAGGCAATTTAAGTGTGTGATGCCCTGAGTTCATGCCCTAGGACCAGCAGAAAAATCAACATGTCGCTGGGTACCAGTGGCTCATGCCTGTAATCCTAGCTACTCAGGAAGCTGAGAACTGAGGATCGCAGTTCAAAGCCAGCCCAGGCAGGAAAGTCCATGACTCTTATCTCCAATTAATCACCTGAAAACTGGAAGTGGCACTGTGGCTCAAGTGGTAGAGTGCTAGCCTTGAGCTGAAGAGCTGAGGGACAGTGCCCAGGCTGAGTTCAAGCCCCATGACTGACAAAAAAAAAAAAAATTGGAGCAAGCAGGATTAAAAGAGCATTTGTGGCCATCTCTTAAGAATGTCCCATTTCATCCATGCTTATCATGTTTGTGAGGTTCTGCTTTTTCCTAAGGCAAGAACGATTACGTTTTCATAACCTTCTTCATAAAACTCTTACTTTCAGAGCTTGCCTTCTATTACCAGAAATGATCTCCATTGTCCAGTTTTCCATCCTCCCACTTTGGTTGACCCTAGATCAGATTCTCATGCCAGCTCTGGGCTTTTCAAACCAACAGATTTGAGGAACAAATCTTTTTTTTCCCAGTTCCTTTGATCTCTAAAGGCTTTTTGTTGTTGTTGTTCTATACTTTCAATTTTCTATTGCTTCTACAGCTTAAGGGACTGTGTAGTATATAAATTTAGTGTGTTTTAATTTATGATCCTGTGTATGTGTGTGTGTATGTCAAATCTAGGTGAAATGAGAATATTTTGTTTTTCTTTCAGCATCTTCTTATCTCCTTTTG